TATATATATATATATATATATATATATATATATATATATGAAATTGGACATGGGCACGGACCCAACATGCTTGAATCAACTTCTTGTTTTTTTATCTACAGTACTAAAACAAACAAAAAAACATGAAAGAGGGCAGTTCAGTTAAAAGGAAAATGTGCTAATTTCAAGCTTTGCAAGTTCATTTAGCATCCTTGAACAAGGTGTGGTCTATTCTTCTTAAATGCTGGAGTGGAGGTCATGTTTCATGTCAAAGAAGGTGTAGAGATTGTATGAACTCGAATTCCTTCCAACTTTTTTTCTTTTCCAGCTTTAGTAAGCTCCCTTAGCATGTGCTCTTTCAACTTTTAATTTTCACATAAGGAAAATTAAAATCCCCAGAGAGGCCATTCTATTTGGCCCATTTTTCAACTTGTTGTTTACTTGGATTAACAACCACAACAAGGAAAGACTCGAAGCTGCTCCCATATATCCATACCGAGTCAATAAAAGGATTATTCCCAAATAACATTCTCCAAATTTTTGACTTCTCCTCGCGATAGCTTGAGAGCATCGATTGGGAAAGTAATAGAAGGACGTTAAACGTAAAACATAAAACAGTGAACAGAGTGTCTTACCTCACACATATTTCCCCACGTGGTGTGCTTTAAAGAGCATTATGTTTCAATTTAGGAGCAGCTACACCAAGCACACATTCGTACTGGGCATCAGAAAACCAACTGTACCGAGTATATGAAATTGGTTGGTAGCGATACAAATGTACCAGCACATGATTCACTAAGACAATATGCTTGAAGAATATGAGCACATGCTACAACTCGCATAACTGCTTCTACATGAGATGAGAGGGGTACTGCTCGCCTGCTCTAGATAATATAAGATGTACTTTGCCTCCTAGTCCACCTCTTACCTTACTGGAAATAATACAGCTTAAACAATGTTTATCATGAACATGATATTTTTTATATATAAGTGTGCAGAGGAGATGACTTTAGTCTTTGAATAGGATTGATTTAGCTGTTCGAATTTTGTGTGGATCAAAATTGACAAACATAGATGAAACCAAAGTATTGATTTTTACTGAAGTTAAATAGATAACAATAACAAAGATCAAGTGATAGTCTATGCATAATATGTGCATAATCTTTTTAATTACAATAAGTGAATAAGTACACCCATAAATCAAACCTTATAGATATTAGATTTTCTCTCTACTCTTGATCTAGACCAGTTACTATCAAACAACCAAAATATTCATCACAGGTCTAACCTAAATAGCATGTAGGATATATACCTTGTTATCTTTTCACATTTTGAGCCTTGTAAGATCAATAAATTTAATGCATAGATAATCAGTATATGTAAATTAGAAAATAACACAGATCTATCACTTAGCAAGAGATCCAACATACAAGATGACACAAGCATACTTTTTTAGTTTCTTCTTGGACTTGATGCTGCTTGTAGAACCTCTCCAACTCTGCATTGAGATGTTGAGCATAGAAGAGAGTCGTAAAATCAAAAATGCAAACTACAAGTTAACTTGAACCTAAATTTTTAGGTTGTTATCTTGAAACTCTCAACCCAAAAGCTCAACTCTACCATACCAAATGAGAGAAATATCGAAAATTGTAAATTCAAAATTCGCATTACTTTTATTCAGAGTAGAACATATCTTTTCTCTGAAGAATGTCTAAAGCTCCAAACTAATTCAAATAAGTCAATTTGATCATGTCATTAAATAGAAGCTATCTTTTTTAAGAGATTCTACTAAATAAACAGAAACATAGAATGAACTATAACATAATTGCTTATTTTTGGATAAACAAATATCAAGGTATTCGCATCTTCGTCATGACCAGTCAACATTTTAGGTACAACTTTCACCAATCAAATACACCATACTGATATACATTTTCTAAAATAAGAAATAGGCAGGCTACCTCAAAATGTTGTCAACATGATCATTTGTTTCACAGGTTACATTTTAGGTACAACTTTAATCAATCAAATATGTCATACTGATGTAGACTTTCTAAAATAAGAAGGAGAAGAGGCTACCTCAAAATATTGTCGCACATCATTTGTTCCACAAGCAACATATTTGTTCCGTAGGTAGCATACATGTATAAATTAAGTGCTTGGAATATTCATGCACTACAACAAAATATATTAACAATATATATCTTTCAATATATTTCCTTAGCTTAATTGTTTAAGAAAGTTAAATGTATCTTTCAACTCAAAGAATGAAAGATGAAAAAAAACAGAGATTGATGAGAATATAACATCAATACCATTAACTTTCTATTAGTAACAAATCAGTAGTTAGTTGATAGTTAGTTACAAGTTACAAGTTGTTAATTTCCAATAGTTAGTTAGAAGTTAGTTGGGTTATTAATCAAGGTTTATATATAGGTTCATATTGTATTCATTTCAACTAATTCACAATCAATGCAATATACATTTTCTTCTCTCAATCTGCTCTCAAGTTCAAGCTTTCAAGCTCAAGTTGAAGATCATCAATGGTGTTGAATCCATGGTGATAATCTCTTCATGGTATCAGAGCCCTGGTGTCTAATTGTTCCTGTTTCGAAGTCGAATTTTGAGCCATTTTTTGTTGTTGTTATCAATTGATTCGATTGATTGATTGAGAGAGGTTGTGTTGTGAATTCTTTTGATTTCTTCTTCTTCTTCTTTCTTTCTGATCGAGGAAATACATTCATAGCTGGAAATTAGCAAGTTCTAGATTGGTTTTTCGTCTTAGATTTCTCACAGATATTCAAACACAATGACTGGCACTCAAGTTGGAGATGTTGCTTCTAGTTCAACCACATCTCGTTTGGATTTTTCCAGTCCTTTTTACCTGCATCCTTCAGAGAATGCAGGATCATCATTGTTACCTGGAGTTTTCGATGGTACAGGTTACAGATCTTGGCGAAGAGCAGTCCTCAGAGCATTATCAGTTAAAAGCAAAACAGGCTTTATTAATGGAGCAATTGTGAAGCCTATATCTACTGATCCTAACTTCATGCAGTGGGAAAGATGTGATGATATGGTCACATCTTGGATCTTGAATTCCTTGTCTCCAGAGTTGCGTGATAGCCTGCAATATGTGAATAATGCCAAGGACTTATGGGCAGAATTAGAGGAAAGATATGATCAAACAAATGGATGTAAATTGTATCAGTTACAGAAGGAGATAAATGAGCTTGTTCAAGGTACTTTAGACATCACTAAGTATTACACAACAATGAAAACGCTGTGGGAGGAGATGAGCACAGTTGACATTAATTCTCAATGCACATGTGTGTGTTCTTGTGGAGGTAAAACAAAGTTGCAAAAGGCTGAGCAAGACAGAAGATTGATACATTTTTTAATGGGGTTAAATGAAATGTATACTACTGTTGGAGGTAGTATTCTCATTAGCATGGCTCAAGCCTTTGCTATTCTATGCCAAGAAGAAAAGCAAAGAGAAGTAAAGCCTCCTAATCATACAGCCTTGGATTCTACTTCTCTCAATGCTTATGGACAATACAATAATAATGCAGGTTACAAAGGATTCAGAACAAATTATAGTTCATCTAAAGGGGCTGGATCCAGTTCTGGTAACAATATGTCTAGAGGAAATTCAAGTATCAACATGTCTACCTTAGTATGTGACTATTGCAAGAAATCAGGACACACGAGAGATAGATGTTATAAACTTCATGGATATCCATCCAATCCAAAGTTTCAAAAGCGAAAAGGAACAAGTTCTGCAGCAAATATGTGTGCTTCTGATATGAATGCACAACAATATGAGGAAGAGCCTCAAATGGGACAGCAGATGCCAATAAACCTGTCCAAAGATCAGTATGAACAATTACTCAACATCTTCGGAAGTATACAAACTGGAAATGGAGTTTCTAATTCTGATAATTCAAACAGCATGATGAATGGGGCTGTGAACTTGACAGGTATACTTGCTTGTTATTCCTCTATAAATGATAGAGGTGATCTTTCTTGTGAATGTGTTAAGCTGACTGCTGGCTCTTGGATAATAGATTCAGGAGCATCACATCATATGACTTATGATAGAACCACTCTCACAAATATTAGAACACTTCCATACCCTTTCTTAATATCACTTCCAAATGGTTACAAGGTTAAAGTGACTCAAGTTGGTGATGCTTGTTTAAATCCAGTGTTAACTCTAAGCAAAGTGTTGTTTGTACCTAGCTTCAAGTTTAATCTCATTTCTGTTCATTGTTTAGCACTACAACTTAATGTAGTCATCAGTTTTGATAAATTTTCTTGCTTATTGCAGGGCCCTTCTCTGAAGAGCCCTGTGGATCTTGGTAAGGCCAAGAATGGTCTATATTTCTTGTGCCAAAAATGTCACAATTGCTGCAAGTCTGCTCAAGAAAAGTCATCTCATTCTAATTGTCATCTTGTCTCAAAGTTTCACAATGTATCTTCTGTAAGACAATCTCAAAATTCTACTGCAAATAAAGCAGATTGTAAGACTATGTCTTCTTCTCATTCTAATGATAAATGTCTTTCCTTTGCCGATGTCTCTAGTCACACATACAATGATGATGAACTTCTATGGCATGCTAGATTAGGACATGTACCCTTTGTAAAGATGAGGAATATAACATCCATACCTGTAAACTTTTCACCTAAACAGCCTTTTACATGCAATATATGCCCTATGGCTAGGCAAACTAGGATGCCATTTCCAGAAAGTACATCTATCACTACAAAAACTTTTGAATTACTACACGTTGACTTATGGGGACCATATCACATTCCTACTCATGATGGTTACCATTATTTTCTTACTATGGTTGATGACTACAATAGGTCCACTTGGACACAATTACTAAGGTGCAAAAGTAATGCTCTTCAAACCATCAAAGCTTTTGTGTCTCTCATAGAAAACCAGTTTCAAACCAAGTTGAAGGCCATAAGATCAGACAATGGCTTAGAATTTACCTCATCTGAAGCTGTACATTTCTTTCAAACCAAAGGCATTATACACCAAAAGACCTGTCCATATACACCTCAACAAAATGGGGTGGTAGAGAGGAAGCATAAGTACTTACTTGAAACAGCAAGATCACTATTGTTTCAATCAAAGTTGCCCTTGAGATACTGGGGAGAGTGTGTATTGACTGCCACATACATAATAAACAGATTGCCAACTAAACTTCTTCAAAACAAATCTCCATATGAGATATTATACCTCAAACAACCTACCTATTCTCATCTCAAGAGTTTTGGCTGTCTATGTTTTCCAACTGTTTTAAAAACTCACAAGGATAAATTTGAACCAAGAACCATTCCTCATATTTTTGTTGGTTATCCATTCAATACAAAAGGATACAAAGTCTTAAATCTAGCTACAAAGAAAGTTCATATATCCAGAGATGTTGTTTTCCATGAAAGAATGTTTCCTTTTGTTCATGTTCCTGATGATGACTCTAGTTTCAGTTCTATTTTAAAAATGCTTACTCATTCTGTTAACATGCCTTGTATGCCTGGAAAAACCAACATATTTGCTACTGATGAAATGCTGGACAATCTTACACCACATGTAGTCACTGAAAAGCAAGTAACCAATATTACTAACATACATGAAACAACATCTGCTGATTCTACAAGAACCACAAGAACCTAGAAGAACTTCCAGAACAATAAATACTCCTAGTTATCTGAAGGATTATACATATACCCTACCTAAATTACATTCCCTCAATACTTTTGTCTCTCACAATAACCATGTATGCTTCAATAGTCTTTGTTCTGATAGCCAGCAGCTAGTTAAAGCTATTTCACATGAATAAGAACCTAATTCCTTTGAAGAGCCAATATTGCACCCTGCTTGGCAGCAAGCCATGACACATCAAATTGAAGCCTTACATGCTAATGATACTTAGGAGATGGTCATGTTACCTGATGGAAAAAGGGCTATTGGTTGTAAATGGGTATACAAAATAAAGCATAAGGATGATGGAAGTATAGAAAGGTTCAAGGCAAGGCTGGTAGTAAAAGGTTATACACAACAAGCTGGAGTAGATTACAATGAGACATTTTCACCTGTGGTGAAGATGACTACTGTTAGAACACTGATCTCATTGGCTGTTAAGAAAGGTTGGAACTTGTATCAACTAGATGTGAATAATGTATTTTTGCATGGTGATTTACATGAGGAAGTTTACATGATACCTCCACAAGGTCTTACAACAAGATGTGATAACATGGTGTGAAAATTAAAGAAATCTTTGTATGGACTAAAGCAGGCAAGTAGGCAATGGTATGAGAAGCTAGCAGACAGTCTATGTTCAAGGGGGTATCAGCATTCAGACAGTGACTATTCCTTGTTCTACAAGAAGAAGGGGAGTTCCTTGGTATTTGTTGCTATATACATGGATGATATAATCATGACTGGGAATAATGTTGATGAAATCAATTCTTTAAAGTGTTTCCTGCATGACCAATTCAAAATAAAGGACTTGGGGAAACTACACTACTTCTTAGGCCTGGAAATATTGTACAGACATGATGGTGTTATTGTTTCTCAGAGGAAGTTCACTTCTGATCTTCTGAAAGATTTTGATATGTTGAGTTGCAAAACTACTTCATCACCACTTGATTACACTGAAAAATTGAAGGCCACTGATGGTGAGTTGTTGACTGATCCTTCTCAATATAGGAAGTTGATTGGCAAACTCAACTTCCTAACTAACACTAGAATGGACATATCCTATAGTGTACAACATTTGAGTCAGTTCATGCAATCACCCAAGGAACCACATTTGAAAGCAGCCTACCATGTACTCAGGTACTTGAAACAAGATCCAACTATGGGTATTTTTATTTCAAACAAGGCTGATCTTACTGTGAGTGCATACTGTGATTCTGATTGGGCTGCTTGCCCTGAATCAAGGAGATCTGTTAGTGGTTACCTAGTTCTTATGGGAGATAGTCCTCTCAGTAGAAATCCAAGAAGCAGGCAACAGTATCATTGTCATCTGCTGAGGCTGAATATAGGGCAATAAGACAGGTTGTGGGAGAGCTAGTATGGTTTGAGAGGTTGCTGAGTGAGTTGGATGTGCAATGTTCTCTACCAATATATGTTCATTGTGACAGCCAAGCAGCAGTTCACATTGCCAAGAATCCAGTTTTTCATGAAAGAACAAAACATATTGAGATTGATTGCCATTTTGTAAGGACTAAGCTTCATCAAGGGTTAAATCACACTTCCATCACATATCCACTGATTCACAGTTGGCAGACATCCTCACCAAAGCTTTAACTGGAGTTAAACACAATTCTTTGTTGCAAAAGTTGTTTGTGTTTGCATCACCTCCAACTTGAGGGGGGGGGGGTGATGAGAATATAACATCAATACCATTAACTTTCTGTTAGTAACAAATCAGTAGTTAGTTGATAGTTAGTTACAAGTTACAAGTTGTTAATTTCCAATAGTTAGTTAGAAGTTAGTTGGGTTATTAATCAAGGTTTATATATAGGTTCATATTGTATTCATTTCAACTAATTCACAATCAATGCAATATACATTTTCTTCTCTCAATCTGCTCTCAAGTTCAAGCTTTCAAGCTCAAGTTGAAGATCAACAATGGTGTTGAATCCATGGTGATAATCTCTTCAGAGATATTTGCTATGAATTAGTTATAATTTTTTGTCTTTGAAGGCAACTCGTTCGGTTATTTTTCTCAAGAGTTGAAGCAAAATATCATACGTATATTGATAATTTATGCTCAGATTGAAAGCCTAAATTTAATTGACACATAAATCATTTGTTTCGTCAATCTCTTTTCTGTTCATTCTATTGGCAATTCCAAGAGAAACAGAAAACTATTATTTGGATCATCAAATATTTGGGAACAATCAGTGTGCAAAATATTTTGTGATCAAGAAAAATGTGCATATTTAATTCACAGGGGGAATACAAATATGTTAGAAAAATAAAACAAAGCTCAAATTGAAAAGTTCACTGATGAATAAATGATAGAGGTTAAGAGAAAATGAACAAAAGGTTGCAGATGGTCTCAGCTTAAAGGCTTCAAACAGACACTGCAAGCACACAAGAGTATTGAGAAGAGAGTGAGGAAAAATTTGAAAAATCCAAACTGGAGAATTTGGTCACAACTACCAAAAAGAAGATGAAGAGAACTACGGATGCACGTGGTTGCCTGACATAAATAAAGATAAAGAATCATTAACAAGAGCTCACACATAACAGTTCTTTAATCAGAAATAAGGTTACCTTTATTTTACAAATTTATCCCTAATAGCAACTTTTGGTGAGGAACTCAACATTTTAAGTATTTCTCAAGTTGTAAGTTCTGAAAAGATAAAAAAAATTGCAGTGTGAAGTCTTATTCTTGCAGTCTTTTTTTCTAATTTCAGTTACTTCATTGTTATTGAGCTCACCGACTATTTTTCTTGAAACAGTAAGGTTTAGTTGTCTTTTGTCTGAGAGGTGAAACAAGACTTTGTCAGCAGCAAGTTTCAGACGCTCCAACTACTGCAACAACCATGTTTTGAATGTCCATGATTGTTTTGTTAAGGTAAATATTACTTCCTCGGTTTCAATTTATGTGTCTTATTTTCATATTTAGCCAATAAAAAAATTTCTCTTTCTATATTCACTAAGTCTTAAATTTTAATATTCTACATGACATGTTTAAAATTATAAGGTTCACATGATATTTTGATGCATTGCACGAATATTTAGTTTAAGATAATAAAATTTGAAAGTCGTTCTTATTTCTTAAACTTTATGTCCAGACAAACTATGACATGTAAAATGAAAGAGAGGAGTAATGATATTTTCCCTGTTTCACATACAAAGTTTCTTTATGTTCTTACTGCTTCTTTATATTCAAATTTGATCTTTGGAGGGAAGCGATGAATTTGTACCTTTTAATTTAACTTTAAGTATCGAAAATTGGGTTAAAAAGCAAGCCAATCCTAATTAATATTTTAAGGCTTCTTATTCATTAATATTGTTAAGAGATTAGTTGAAGTTGAATGACATGGTATTGTTTCTTGTGTTGTTTGTTGCTATAGAAGCAATTTTGGTTATAGTGAGTGAAAACTCAATAAAATTACGAACTTCTTAGATAACCAAATTTTTGGGGCAACTTGAACTACTAATAGTTTAGGAAAGGTGAATTAAATGCGTCAAGTTTACGTCGGTCTTTAAGTATTCTGCCTTTTATATCTAATTATCTTCATGTTGTTTATGTATATGTCACTGGAGTGATAGTGAGGTGTTTCTTGGAATGTGCCAAATGGTAGAAGAGATTGAACAGATATCAAACGTCTCAGAAGCCAATGCTAACATACCAGCTTCAAAAAATGTCAAATTATTAATATGTCTGCCTACGATAGAAGATACAGATAATCATTATTCACAGAATATACCGTACAAGAAGATTATTCAAAAGACATTCCATAAAATCCTAACTTCTATCCTTCAAAAATCAAAGAAAAATATCTACTAAACCTAGAAGGACACCAAATGCCTCTCTGTAACAATTATAGGAAGACTTTGCACTACGTAACAAGGTTAGTTAAGTTAACACTCCATTATTAGAACAGAAAAAAGCATATTTGAATGAATAAATTCACATTTTTTAGTAGGAGAAATCTTCAACTTTTAAAAATGTCTTTCCAATAATTGAATTCGTTTGATTAAAAAAGAATATTTACTTGGTTAACAGAATAATTTTTGAAACTTACTTTAGGATGTATATATAATTCACTTGCAGCTCTTTCAGTGTGACATCTGTAATAGGCGTGGAGCTTCTGGTTAAGCCATTTTGTTTTCTTCAGTTCCTCTTTTTTTTCTCTTTCAAAATTACCTTATAGTGAATCTCAAATTTCATCAGCTTATTCCTCTGCTACGTAAAGAATAGCAGAAGAAGAGTATAATTGGGGAATCCTTCTGCTAGCCCAAGATTGTTAACTAAGATCAGAAGGTTCAACTAAGGAAGAGTAAACTATAAAGGAGAAGAAATATTTTGAATAAGAAAACTTTGATATAGAACAAGCCTAGTTGATTTTGGTTTTATTACAAGTGACTAAGGTTACCCCTATTTATACTAGTATACGGATGCTTCTAGAAATTATTCTAGAAAGATATAAAAGAAAAATCTAGATGACCCTATCTTCTAAATATCTAACAACAATCTAGATTTTTCTATAATTCACTATAAATATCTACTTCTCTAGAACATCTACACAATTCCTAGATATATCAAGTACTTAAGGTACTACTCTTTATAACTCTAGAAAGTTCTACTAAATATCTAGGATTATTTATTCCTCCAAAAAATCATTTTTATTTTTCACATGTTAAACATTTTTAAGGTTGAAGTTGCTACATTTTTCTGTGTTGTTGTTTATCTTAGTTTTTTGTGTTGGTGATTTTTTATTGCATTTTTTAAAGCTGGTTAAACATGGTGAATTCTTGACCAGGTCATAAAATAAAGGTGATGTGTGCAACAACTATAATGCTTTACAATTGTAAAGTTCAAAGATTCAGTGATCCTGCACGAGTGCTGCTGTAAGAAGATGCATTTATATGTTGTTGGTATTCTGTGGTAATAGAAACTTTACTCAGGTTTGAAGGTTAGCTTCGCGCTCTCTATCAATTAAAAAAAAAAAGATTACTGAATATGGAAGATATACTACATGTTCTATGCGGATTTTAGTAAAAGAAAAATTCCCTCTTCTTTAATTTCATACATGAATGATGATTGTGTCTTGACGGGTCCTGTTTATTTCCTAAATCATTTACTATCCAAGTAAATATCTTTTAATATCGATAATTCTAATTGAAATGAAGCAGAATGTTGGTACAAATAAAACTCCAATTCAAAATTTCTTACACTAATTTGTAGTGTAGATATAATAAGGATAACCATGTCTTTTTGATATGAACATCAACTACAATTATCTTCATTGATTATTAAATGACTTCCAAGATGTAATAGTGATTCTGGAACAAATGTTTGCTGAAGTATATTCAGGCAATACGTTGAAAGTAATTGATAACCAATGATTGCTTTAGAGCTTCAGATGTATACAATGCCAGGAACATAGGAGGGATCATGGCTCGAGTTCTAAGTGAAGGCACTGAAATCATTTATTAGTAAGAGGTATGATGTTGTTTTTCTACTGAATATTTTTAAAAGATAATTGCATAAGAATGTCAGTGAGATGATTTTACTTTCTGCAGACCCAATCACCAAGAGCGGAACAAGCTTTGAAGAACTATGGAGTTGAAAAACGCATTGATTTTGAGCCATACTTGCAACAAGAAATATGATGAAAAAGATAACTACAAATTAGATTGTTACCTGTTGAAGAGCACCACTCTTTAGTATAGCTATATGTGTTCTATCCATGTCTTATTAAAATCACTTCTACTTGTGAGTATTTATCCTTTGATTTCGGTATATGTATGTCAATGTTGGGCCCGCTCTGTAAATAAAAGGAAGAAAATCATTTAAAAAGTTTTATTTAATTTCATGGTGTAATTATACCAATTCCTTTACTCTCTTCAATTACACCCAATTCTTGTCTTTCCAAATAATTACTTTTAGTCTACCAAATATGGCAAACAGAAATTTCAGTTACATTATGGCTTTCCAAAGAGAGCCGTGTTTGACAACAGTGGGCATCAACAGCTGGTGTGTAAGGAGCCATTTGTTAGTAGAAACAAAGAACTCATTAGAGTATTTGTGGCGCTGATAGCGCAACAATGCAGAAAAGAAGTAGAATTTTATAAAAAGTGTTTCTGATGAGCCTCCTGTAGAGTTTATAGACAACCAGTAGCTAATATAAAACTAATACGTAAATAACCTAATCCTAATCAAACGTGTATCCTGATTAATGTTACAGCAGCACAGTAAAAGAGTAATAATATAAACCAATATAGCTGATGAACTATTATAGAGAACAGCGTAGGTGGTAGTGGCACACTAGAGGAATATTGTACACTAGATGGATTACCTTTCTTTATACAATTGGGGAAGCCTTGAATTAAGCTGTCATCTCCCATAAATCTAAGATGAAGACCTTGTTTAGCTTATTCAATACTTTTACATGGCAAACAAATGCCTTCATCACTAAAACAAGATTCACGACACCAACTTGCAACACTTATTAACTATTTAAGCTCTGGCATCCTTAACTAAAACTGATCAGGTTATAAGTTATATGGTATGGAAATTGCGGAATATTTCTGCAGAAGCAATCAAAAGCTAGCTCCATCACTGCTGAAGGAATGCAACCAATCTGCCAACTAATCAAGAATCAGTAACTGGTGTTTTAATTATACCAGATTACCAGCGGGTTCAATTTTTGATATCCAAGTAGTAATAGCATAATGTTTAATCTTTGAGTATGTTGAAAGGTGAAAGAAAGAAATAATAGGATGATAAAATATCTAAAAGAGGATAATTTATTGACTGAAGAAACTGAAATACACGGCATACCAGTCAAACATAAGAATAATTTACTTCCTCCGGTCTTCTAAAATGCATGTCATACCAGTCGAATCTGCAATAACGTCAAGACTAAGAGTTATTTTAATACCGTTTGGCTGGCAAACTTAAATATCTAAGTAAAACATCTCTCTATCGCTTGTTTTTCCCCTTTTAAGGGTTTGAACCCCTCAAGCGTGTTTAACCTACATATATATTATGTGTTGCCTTCTTATCATTTGATAAAAACCCAGGGCTCTTCTCTTTCATTCTTTGTTTTTCAGAAACTTATGCAGAAAATAATGACAATTGACAAGTAGGCAAATAATTTTTAGAGTGGAATTGTCAACAAACCTCTCCATCCATCTGTTTTGGCAGATATCACAGCATATGAATAACTTTTCCCACATATTATACTGATCCAGTACAATGGAAGAATGCTACAGAAGATAAAGTCAATAACTAAACAGTGAAAAAGGAAGATTGAATCATTCATTAATTATGAACAAATGTACCAGATAAGGGACCAGGTTCTTCTTCACTACTAGACCAATTCATAGTCTATAAGTAGAGTGTGGATTCCAGCAATCTTTAGCCAGTCCTCCGCTTTCTTGTTATGTAAACGAGGAGTGAGCAATGGACAGTCATTGATCTCTAATCGACACACAGAGGAGGGGAGACCCTTTTTTGGTAGTGATAGAAACTGTGGGCAGGAAGAGATCTTCAGAACAGAAAGTGAGGAAGGCAACCCTACTTCTGGAAGTGATTTCAGCTGACAACAGTCTTCAATCTCTAATGTTGCAAGAGAGGTGAGGCCTTGAAGACCTTCCGCTGATAGTGATTGAAGCTGAGGGCAGTGCTTAATTTCCAAAACTTGAAGATACTTGAATCCCTCAAGAGCTTTCCCACTTAGTGTTTTCAGACGAGGAAGACCCTCTATGGTAATTGTTTGGATGCTCTGCGGCAGCTTCCAACTTACGTCTAGAATTGAAGTTTCATCAGAACCATAAATTCTGAAACATCTAAGATAAGGGAGTCTCTGTAGACCCCACTCCTCTCTGCCAGTTATCAGATTTTGACAACTAGAGATGTCTAGGATTTCTATATTGAAAGGCAATCCTCCATCAGGGAAGGACTCAAGTTCAGGACAGTTCGAAATCCAAAGATTTTTAAGAGATGGAAGGAGTTCATGCATACAGTCTGGCAGTGCTTTCAGTTTCTGGCAGTCATAAACCCAAAGATACTTCAAGTTCGGAGCAACAAGTTTTTGTGGAAAAGAAGTCAGATTATCACAGCCTGAGATTTTCATCGAATGCAGAAATTTCAGATGAATTCCCTTTGGTACTGTAAGTGCTTTAAGATTCCCACATCTTTCTACTTCAAGGGTGTCAATTCCATGTGGAAATGATAGCGTTTGAAGATGCCTACAACTGTAGACTATGAGAGTATGTACTCTAAGGGAAAAGCCAAAGGGGAGATGGCGTAGAGACTCACAATTTTCAAGTCTTAATTCTTCAAAGAACATGTTACAGCAGCTTCCAGTCATGCTATCTTCTGGAAACTCCAACTCCAATTTTCCGCATCGTGAAATATGCAATTTTTCCAGTGTTACTGGTAGACTCAGAATTGTTAAGGACATAAGATCTGGACAATTTCGAATGACCAATTCAATGAGCTGTTGCATTTCCTGAATTCTGATTATTCTTAAGCTTGCACAATTAGATATCCTCAATTCTCCAAGATTTGTTAGTCCACATATTTCTGATGGCAACTCCACCAAGTTTGGCATGTCTGAAATTCTCAATTTTTGAAGAGACGTGAAGTTTTGATGGATCAAACTCAAATGGATTCCAAACATAGCCACTTGACCATCAGGAAGAACTCCAAGCTTTGGGCAGCCAGAAATCCTTAATGTAGCTAAAAATGGAAGACTTTTTGGTAGCTCCCCTATCAGTTTAGGACAATTAATTAAGTCAAGATGCTTGAGTTGAGGAAAGCTTCCATTCTCTAACACGTGCCATTCTATCAATTCTGGCATTTGCTTAAACACAAGGTTTGTGAGAGCTCTAAATGGTGGAACTGAAGACACACTCCCATAAAATTCTTGAGTCAATTGCAGTATCCGATGCATTCCACTGACTGAAAGATGTTTGAGAGATGGCAGTTGTCCAAGTGCTGGTAAGGAATCGCAATCCCTACATTTCCGGAGATTCAATGAGACGAGCTTACTAAATGAATGATCTCCAAGCCAATCTGGAAACTTTGTCCCTCGATACCCATTGATCTCCAGCTTCTTAATGTTTTTATCTGGCTTCAACTTATCCAGAATCTCCCTTTCAATTTGCGAATCATCGGCATTAATGCCACTCCATGACAAAGATAGCTCTTCAAGGTGCTTTTTATCCTTCATGTTTCCCTTAATAGCTTCCCTGCCATTAACAACATTTTGCAATTCTGAAATTGATAAGGATCCATGGAGATTTTGAAGTTCACCCAACTCTTCAATTCTTGAATCACTAAATGCACCCACGACAAATCTTGTTGAATAAGAAAGTAGGAGAATCTGTAACTTGCTTTTCTGTAGAGGAATGTTCCATGAAATACCAGTTCCTCGAATATCAAGGTGACGCAAGTTGATTAATCTCCCCATCTCTGGCGGCAACTCAACAAGACCCCAACAATTCAACAGCAACAATGTTTGTAGATTATACAAAGTACAAACTGAATCTGGTATTTTTGTAATTTTTGTACGAGAAAAGTCCAAATAGCGTAGGTGCTTCATATTGATGAACAAGGCATCAGGAAACTCATTGTTTTGATATCCAGATAAGGATAATGCCCTCAAGGAGGTGAGGGTTGGCAGTATGTCATACACAACTTTTTTGCTCAGAAATGAATAAAAATTAATCCTTACGGGAATCAATGTCCTCAAATACTCAAGGCCAGAAAGAGATTTGAACTTGTCAAACTCACCATAGCAATCTCTAAGATATGACAAATGTCGAACTCTTTTCAATATGTGAGTCCTTGGATAATCTTCAAGCCTGAGACAGAGTTTTGCAGACACAACTTGAGCCAAATCATTGACAAGGTCATGCATCAAGAACACATCCCTTGCTTCCCATTTCAACAAATTGAGATCAGATGCCTTTTGTATCAAGGATCTTGATCTTAGCTCCAAAAAGTATTGATTCCCTGTATCTTCAATTGTTTCATCACTTTCTCCCTGTGTTATAAGGCCATTAGCGATCCATAGTTGAACAACCTCGTCACGACCAAAGGGGTGATCTTTAGGAAATAGTGCACAATAAGCAAAGCAACGCTTTAGCACCTGAGAAAGGTCATTATAGCTTAGTTTGAGCACTGGTAATATGTCACTTGGTAGCTCCCATATTTCACTTTGCAGAAGACGTTCCCACTCTTCAATAGTTGATTTAGAGCGCAATAGACCTGCCAACGTCTTCACAGCTAAAGGTAACCCCTTGCACTTCCCCACAATTTGCCTGCCAACCACTTCAAGCTCTGGATATTTGTTGGGATCTCTATTTTCAAATGAATGTGTTTTAAACAAAGACCAGCAATCTTCATCAGAAAGAGATTTCAACTGAATCATCTCACTTGCCATCATCATGGCAACGCTTTGTTTTCTTGTTGTTAAAATGATCCTGCTTCCCTTTCGTCCATGAACAAAAGGACACCTTAACTCATCCCAATCAGTGTAATTTTCATTCCATACATCATCTAGAACAAAAAGAAACCTTTTCCCTTTAAGCCTATGACTTAGCTTAATTTGGAGCTGATTAAGATTGCTGGCACTAACTTTTGAATCCAATGACCCAATTATCTCTCCAAGCAATGTTGTTGTAATTCTGAAAGCGTCATATTCTTCTGAAACACAAACCCATGCTGTAATATTGAAATGTTGTTTTATCCTCTTATCATTGTAAACAGCTCGAGCAAGTGTTGTCTTGCCCACTCCACCCAATCCCACTATCGGAACCACATCACCAGATCCATGTGCATCATCATCAGATGATAACAATTTGCTGATTATTTCCTCAACTTCCTGATGTCTACCAAATACCCCTGATTCATCAACCAAAGAAGTCGATGGGAGACGTTTAGGTGAATCCTTTTTACCCGTCACCAGTTGAGCTTTCAGGGTGATCGTGAGGCAATTAATTTGTGTTTCCAAGTCTTGCAACGTTTCAATGGTCTCTTCCAATTTGGGCATCATGGAGTCTAAGTAGCAAAAACGACTTGTTTCCTCACCAGATACTCTCAAAACTTCATAACTGATCTCATCTAATAAGTTATCTGCAGTGTCCACAGCATCCTGAAGTTGGTTCAGCCAAGTCCGAATATCTTCGTCACAAATTTGCTGGATCTCGATGTGATGGACAACAGCACGAAGAGCAAGTAAATTAGTATGAAGCTTTTTTAAGAGACGCTGATCTTGCCTCCGTCCTCGGAACAGATTAAGGAAATCACACTGTGGGGTGAGTCGATCAAACAGAACTTGCAGAGTTGAAGAGAGGAACGCACCTCCAACTGTTAAACCGATATCCATTTCCGATTCTATAGGTGGGCATCATCAATACTTTCTCTAAATTAGTGTCAAGTCAACTGAGTCTACTCAGTGGGACGCGTGCACTTCGTTATCTAATTTACATCACACCCAGTTTGGAGCAACTTTAAGAAAAAGTACTTTAATGTTAAAATTTATTTTTAAAATAAGCAGTTATGCGTTTAGATAAAAGTGCTAAAGCTGAAAAAAATATTATTGATGTGTTTGACAAATAAGTGATGATAAACAGCTTTTTAAATCAAAATGTTTGAAAAGTTGTTAACATAATAAAGTTAATTAATTTATATTTTACAGCCATAAATAATGATATTTTGCTATCTCATCACAAATTATTTATAAGAGGAATATAAACTTATTATAGATTTTAAAGATATATAATTTGAATAGATTAAAGAACGATTTAAGATTTTATTTTACTTTCATCCATAGGTAATAATAATTGTCTATCATTCACATATTTCTTTATTATCACAAATTATTTATAAGAGGAATATAAATTTTTATTTAAGTTATATGTGCAACTTATTTTACATTATAATAATATATAATTTGAATAGATCACTTGAAAGATTTAAGATTTATTTTATTTTCATTCATTAGTAATAGTAATTGTCTATCATCCACACGTGAAAAGGGAAAAATAGAAGAAAGAGATGTTAGGGTTATGTGGGTAATTTGGAGATTGTATAAAAATATTAAGGGCAAAAAAGTAAAAATGTGGTCAACTTAAAACAGCTTATAAGCTATGTGATTGCACGTGAATTGCACGTGAATCCAAGCAAGAATTGATTTATGATTTTCGACACTTTAAATATTGAGCATAGTCAACATAAATCATGAGTCATTTAGTATAAAACTGAGTATATAAAATATGATTTTTAGACATTAATAATAGGATCAATAGTGAGAAAAACATATTAAATAAAAGGCATTCTACATATATTGGCCCCTAAATTTGGCCTCAAATTAACTTTGACCTCCAACTTTCATAATGCACAAACAGACAATTTAATTATCCAAATTTTAAATAAATAAACACATGAGTCCTACGTGGCACAATACACGTAAGACACCACATATAACCAGATGACATGTAGGACATGAGTGTCTATTTGTTTAACTTTATACAAGTTTAAGTGTATACTTGTGTACACCAGAGTTGAAGGGCATATATGCAATTCGAAACCAAGTTAAATGATACATTTATGTATTATGCCTAAATAAAACAGTGACAGAACTAAGATTTTCACTAAAATAGGTTCAAAATATGAAGAACTAAACATACGAAGGTTCAACATCTACTATATATAGATAAAAATATATATTTAAGCCATATGTATAAATCACAGAGGGTTTGACTCATCCCTCTCGGCCTTACCTGACTCCCCCGAATCCCAATAAAACATATGGATCAAGATTGATCCTTTCAACTTCTTCTCATATCATTTTCTGATAAGATTGTGCTTTGTGATAATAATAAATATAAGTGAATAGAATCACTTTCTAATCAGGATGACTTGCATTTTCCTTAAACTTTTATAACCCTTAAATTTATTGTGCCAACTAACTCTTCCAAATCTCTTGCATTATATGTTAGCTTTTAAATAACTTTAGGAAATTACTGTTAAAATTAAATACATTTTATACTCCAACATATTTTATCATTACAGATGAAAGGTAACTTTTCAAATTACTTATTTATTTCAAATTAATTAAGTAAATCAATGCATTGATTTTGAAATAATAGTTTATACATGCATTTGAATCTAATCCATATTATTGAACAACTTAAAGTAACCTTTCAAATTTTGAATCTTTTGAGATTAACTAATAACACATTTTCACTTTTAGTATTTAGTATGATATAATTATATCTACTTAAATTTAATTAATTAATTATCATATAATATTATAATTGAATGTAGGGGCAAAATAGTAATTCAATTTTGAATGTTAGAGCTTCCCACTTATAATAATATATGATATATGATAATTATATTCATTCTTTTTATATATTATGAATTGTCAATCATAATGACTTGTAATGTTTTTTATATAGTTTACTGTAACGGCCTGTTTAGTCGTTTTGAGCAACAAACTTCAATTCTGGAAAAACTGGCTGAAGCGACGGACCCCACGAACGGACCGTCAAGGGCACGACGGACCGTCGCAAGGTCTCGTTTCAAAACACTTAGAAAATCTGAAATTGGGTACTGAAAATCGACTCTCTGAACTTCGTAACGGAGTGGCAGGACGGACCGTCACAGGTGTGACGGACCGTCACAGGCCATTCACCCAAAATCAAGTTTCTGAACTATGCGACGGACAGCAGGACGGACCGTCGCAGGCGCGATGGCCCGTCACAGTTTGAATAATCCCAGTTGGAGTCGGATTTCTGGTTAAGTTTTAAGGGACGTTTTTGACTATTCTTGCCTTAATTATAAAGTTCGTGGGTTTATATTAATAACTCAAATTCTTGGGGGTTAAAAGAGGTAACCCTAAGTTAATTAGTGGGGTATTATCGCCATCTTTTATTCTTAATTATATACTAATTAGGGTAAAAGAAAGAGGGTTTGAATAAGAAAATAGAAAGAACAAGAAGGGAGAGAGAGAAACGATCGAGAAGAAGAGGAAAACACCAAGCTTTGAGGATTAACTTGCTTGATTTCAATTCTTCGGTGGAGGTAGGTTATGGTTTTCATGCTTTCCTAAGTAAACTCTTAATAGTGAATGATATGTATTGGTAGTATTGTAAACCCTACTATATGCTTAATGGTATGTTTGCATGAATATGATTATGTGATTGTGATAAGATAAGCATGATGAAAGTATTGAATCCCAAATCTTGAAAAGAAACTCTAATATACATTATTAATGATGATGTCTTGGTATAGAAGAAGGCTTGATGAATTAAAGTAATGGGATTGATGATGCCTTGGTATAGAGAAGGCTTGAAGATTTACAGAATGATATTAGTGGATCGGAGTGTCACGTTCCGACACATAGTATTAGTGGATCGGAGTGTCACGTTCCGACACATAGTATTAGTGGATCGGAGTGTCACGTTTCGACACATAGTATTAGTGGATCGGAGTGTAACGTTCCGACACGTAGAATTAGGGGATCGGAGTGTCACGTATCGACACATGTAGGGGATCGGAGTGTCACGTACCGACACATATAGGGGATCGGAGTGTCACGTACCGACACACATAGGGGATCGGGTGTCACGAACCACACGTAGAATTAGGGGATCGGAGTGTCACGTACCGACACATAGCAGTAGGGGATCGGAGTGTCACGTACCGACACAAGAGGAAGAAAGATAATGAATCTTGAAAGATGATAATATACTCAACTTAATAAACTTAATTCCCAAATGAGTATGGTATTGAGGCTTGAGCCCTCATGGATGAACTTGATGGTACTTATTGATGATTATAGTACCTGTTGTTTCTACATGTTGAGTTTTATAGTTGATTTATGATATTACTTGATATATACTGTTCTCTATTTTGAGTTGACCGATGATATCTACTCAGTACCCGTGGTTTGTACTGACCCCTACTTTTATGTTTTCTTCTTGTTATTTGTGGAGTGCAGCAAACGTTCCGTCATCTTCAACTCAGCAGTGATTCTAGCCAGTCTTCGTCATATCGGATATTCAGGGTGAGCTAATGCTTCTAGCTTGGACTGGGTCTTCTTCTTCAAGTCTTGATGCCTTGAACTTCCGGCATGGACTAGCTTCTTATGTATTTTTAGCTTTTAGAATACTCTTAGTTTAGTCATTTGATCGTAGATGTTCTTGTGATGATGACTTCCAGATTTTGGGGAATAATAGATGTTGAATTTTAGAAGTTAATGAATTGATCTTTATTTAATGAGTTTAAGTCTTCCGCATTACTTTCTGTTTATATTATATTGAAATGTTAAGGTTTAGATTGGTTGGTTCGCTTGGGTCGTGACAAACTTGGTATCAGAGCATTAGGTTCGTTGGTCTCATCACACAAGAACAGGTCTAGTAGAGTCTTAAGGAACGGTAGGGGGACGCCTTTACTTTTCCTTGAGAGGCTATAAGGCTTTAGGAAAATTTCACTCTTTCATTCTTTCTTTCGTGCTACTACTTGAGTCCAATTGGTATCTAGGCGATACGAATTGGTATCTGACCATCTTCACTCTCTTTCGCAGATGGTTAGAACTAGAGCAACGACTACGCCAACACCAACACCGGCCAGACAAGAATCAACTGAGCCAGCCACTGGGGCTGTGGCTCGAGGAAGAACAGCGGCAAGGGGCCGTGGTAGAGGTCGTGGGAGGACGTCCTCTAGGGGAAGAGGACGAACACCTAGTCCATCTGATACTAGGGCAGTGACTCCTCCACCGACTGAGGAGGTAATAAGAGAAGGGGAGGATGGGGAAACTGAACAAGTGCAGAATGAGGGATTGCCACCCCAACCTACCCCAGAGATGATCAATCAGGTTCTGGCTTATCTTAGCGGGTTATCTGATCAGGGCCAGACACCCCCAGTGTTTTCTGCACCAGTACCTCAGGCTCCGGAGGTACAACATGCGGCTACTATGGCTCCCCGCATGGATGTTCCATTGGAAATAGGCACGTTTCCACGTCTGACTACTGGGCCTATAATGACAAATGATCAGCATGAACTTTTCAGTAAGTTCTTGAAATTGAAACCTCCAGTCTTCAAGGGTGCGGAATCTGAGGATGCTTACGATTTTTTGGTTGACTGTCATGAGCTACTACACAAGATGGGTATAGTAGAACGGTTTGGTGTTGAGTTCGTGAGTTATCAGTTTCAAGGGAACGCCAAAATGTGGTGGCGGTCACATATTGAGTGTCAACCAACAGAGGCACCACCTATGACTTGGGCCTCATTCTCTAGCTTGTTTATGGAGAAGTATATCCCCTGAACTTTGAGGGATAGGAAAAGGGATGAGTTCTTGAGCCTAGAGCAAGGTAGGATGTCGGTAAATGCTTACGAGGATAGGTTTCGTGCACTATCCAGATATGCAACCCAATTATGTTTCAGTC